CTAGATTCATTGAGAAACAGCAGATCAAGTGGTTGGGCCATCTCATTAGAATGCAGCAAGATCAAATACCATCACAAGCACTACACCTCAGAAGATCAGCTACAAGAGCAAGAGGACGGCTGTGGAAAATATGGATCGACAACATTAAAGACACTATGCCTTCATGCCATGACGATAGCCTGTGGCAGCAAGCGTGCACTAGATCGCAAATTTTCCTCTCCACGAAGCTTTACGACAGAAGTAAAGGAGGCCATCACGATGCTAACCACATCATCCACCACTTGCTAATTTGTCTATAAAATATAGGTCTAGCCCTATATGCCCAATACGTCCAGAGTCGTGGAAACAGGTACTGTCACTTTACTGTAATAATAAAATACATAAATACAAAAGCAATGAGTTGAGTTGATTCAAGAACAAACATCACAGCAATCAGGGCATTCCCATAAGCGCTCCGTCCCCATCTTCAGCAGGCAGTGAAAAGTTCCAATACTAATGGTGCCAGTAGCATTCTGATTAAATGTCTGTCTTGCCTTTAATCTGAGCGGCAAGCATCTGTCAGAACCCCTCGTCACTCCTCGCTGTGGTGAATCATCTACTCCCCCAAACTGCACGTGCTCTCCCACGAGGCACTAACCACATCTGCCCTATTTATATGAATGAAAAAGCAATAGATGTAATAAATGAGAAACTTCAATTTACATTTCTGAAAAACGTCGAGTGAATACAAGGATGGTACTGAGAAGGGAGGAGGAAGAAGAGGAGATGTTTTTGTGTTTAAAAAAGGTTTTCTTCCAATCAAACCAGGAATCTGCAATTCTCGTGTTTTTTCTTTTCTCTTTCTTTCTTTTTGTCTCCTTTCTCTTCTTGGACCTGGCTGAGGCTTACCACTTCTAAAATGTGAGTTGCATTCCAAATAATATCATATACCACGCAAAAAGTTGGGTATAAACAGGACGTTCACCAAGATGAACTTTTTAGAAAGCAGATTTCTGACATCTTCATTACACTTTTTTTTAAATTTGACCATGGCATGTAATTCTTCTTCTACAAAACTGCATCTCTGCAGTCTTATTTTAATTTCTGCACCTTTCCACTAACAACAACAAAAAAAGCTGCCAAAACTGCCTTTATTTCACACATTTTTGCCTTGTAGGTAGGGCAGTCTTTAAGCTTGAGGGCCTCATGGCTGGTGCTGCTGCCACAGACTGTGCAGGTGAGGATTTCATTTTTCATTAGGAAAACCAAAACAATCCCCAACCTTATAGAGGATTCAAACCTGGGTCTTCTGCTTGAGAGCCCAACGCTCTAACTGTTCGGCCAGCCACTCCCTAATAAACGGCATGATGGTCTACATGAATATAGGTCTAGCCCTATATTCTCAATTGGCCCTAAGGCATGGACAGGAGATTTTTCCTCCACCCCTCAATAAAGGCTACTCCACAATAATGCCAACATCAGGCTTTTAGACAGTCCAAAAGAGGAGAAGGACGTAGAGCAAGAGGTAGACTAAGAACAATATGGAAAGATAACATCAGAGAAACTCTACAGCATCACAATGTGTCTATGGTTGAAGCAGCCAGAAGAGCATAAAGCAGGACCTTATATCTCCCTCGACACCCGAATTGGTAAAAAAGAAGAAAGAAGAAGATGAAGACAGTTCTATCCCCCCCTCCCACCCTCCATGCGTATCAAAATGAAAGAAGTGCACAAAGTTTGGTTCAGAAGCTTCTACAATTTTATTAAAGTCAGCAGCATTTAAATCAATTACAAAGTTCATAATGACTTTCTCTCTAAAACAATTATATCACATTAGCCGCATATGATAGAAATCAGCAAACTTAACTGTAAATGTTTCAATGCCTTATTCTATCAACAGTATCAATGATTTCCTTTTCCCTGCTTCTCTCTCTCTCTCTCCAAAGTACACATACACATGTGTGTATGTGTATAAATATATATATTTATATATACATAAATATATGTGTGTGTGCATGCGTGTGTGTGTTCGCGTGTAGGTAAAATAAACATAAAACTCTCAATGGACTCAAAAATAAGTAAGGCAGCAACAATGAGGAGCAGATGAACCCCCCTAAAAAAAAAGATGTTGGGAGAACAGGAAAAAAAAAGTTAGTTGCGTATCCTTTAAGGACATTGCAGTACCAACCCCTGCATTTTTTGGGCCGTTGTAGTGATTCTAGGCAAATTTTATGTTAAGTAGTTTGCCACTGCTTTCTGACCAGTCAGCTCTCGGTACCACTGTCAAAACAAGCGCATGACAAACCATCAGCAGAACAGAAAGCTCGTGATTAAAACAAAAACTCTTTTCTATCAGGCTTGTGTTATCAGCACTCTTCTTTATGGTAGTGAAATTAAGTCAGCTTATTGGCACCAGAAAAAATAGCTAAATCACTTTTGCATGTGATTTCCTAAAATGAATACGTGGTGTGTAAGAAAGCTGGCTCACTATTAATGTAGCTTGTTAACTCTGGAACACACATAGCTTTTCAACAACTGACAGCACTAGAATGCCTCTCGAATTCCAATATGCATTCAGCCAGTTTATTTCTCCTATTCCATCACAATTACTCAACTAACATCATCGCTGTTCACTTCCGCAAGCAGACCACAAAAATCATTTAATCAACGTTGACTACAACAATTCATTCAACTACACTGACAACTGTCTTCTTTCGACTCTGGTGCACAACCGACCTCGGACTTGCCCTTTCCAGCCGAGTATTTCGTGTTTGTGCGTATGGATTTTCTGCTTGACTTACTGTCAGCGTGGAGACCATGCAAAGCATGATCAAGACAAGGTCATAATCACTGAGGTGTTGGGGAGTGAGCAGGATCTTGGCAGTTTTCTCTATAGTTAGTCTCTCAACGCTCAGCTGGCTGGGTCACATCTGCAGAATGTAAATTCCCTAAGAACATCCTCTATAGTGATTTACAGATGGGTAGAAGAAGTGTGAAAGTAGGACATGAATGATACAGGTACTGAGGTAGATTTATGGTAACAAAATACAATGGACTGTGTTGCATAGAGGGGGAAAATCAGGAAGGGATAAAGGAAAAAAACTGACTGAAAAAATGTTGAGAGCTGAGCATCTCTCTCTCTCTCTCTCTCGTGTTGTACCTCACCAGGACACTGCACAAGCGATAAACACCTGGTGACACAAAGTGCCACCATGAGGATCACCAGTGGAGAGGTCCCAGAAACCCTGAGCATCCTAACAGAAGTACATTAAATACATGTGATAGCCACAAAGGTCCTGAAATAATATTCTCTAAGTGTGGAAGACTTTTCCTAATGTGGGCGGGTCTTGCCAGTCACACTCGCCACTGCCACCGGCTTTGATTCCACACTTCCCCATAGAACTATTGGGAAAGATGGAAAGGTGCCAACACATAAATTAAAAAACAAACAAGTAAAAATAAACCAGTTATACATGAACGCACAGACAGGTTCATATGGGCATGCACTCAGGCATATGTGCATGTACGCATGTACACACTGATGCTGAAAAATTACACTGTGCAGAATAAGGCACTGTAATGTATAAACATATGATGGTGACATGTCCATTCTTCATGATTAAATATTTCAAATGTCGCTGTGTAAGTCTGGCATGATGTTGTTCAGAGCTGTATAGTGTTCGTTGGTGTCACACATATTGTTATTGATACGGGTATGAGACAGGTTAATTCCACTTTCTCCCCAAGACTGTGTCCAAAAGTAAAGCCAACTCAACAATGAAACAAGTTTTGAAACAATTAAAGATCACCAATTTTCATAGTTCCATAGTTGTAAAACAGTGTTCTCCACAGGAGCTTTACCACAAAGATTTAATCTTTGTAACACCAGTTATCCTCAGTCAATATACTTGAGCAGGCGGTTGAGGTGATGATGGTGTCTCAAATATGGAGATACAGATTTAAACCATCATGTTATCTGTTAAAGATATCATTTACAAAAACACAAATCATTCTGCAGTTAATGTAGCAGATATCAGGTAAAAAAGTCAAAATGCCTTTTCAGGCCTTTAGACGCATCGGACAGATGGGAGGAGCACTCGGTGGGTAATGTGGTCAGCATTACACCGGCCACTTTCCCAGGACATACATCCTGGTACCCATTTTAGGCTGAGCTGACCTGCGACGCCCCATATCATGATAAAAATCCACACACTGGCCATTTCAGTCTATCAGCACTCATAAAAACTTTGATGAATAAATTAACCTCTGAGCAGGAAGAAAGGCAAGACGGACATTTAACCAGACGGACATTTAACCAGATTGTGACCGGTACCATGAGTATTGGATCTCTGCGCTGGCTGCTGAAGATGAGGATGGAGCATGCATTGGAATGCCCCGAGTGCTGTGATGTCAATTCTTGACTCAACTCAACTCTTCTCTGTGCCAGCTTCTGTGCCCTGAATCCACAAGACGGACACTTTTACTTAGAGTAGCTCAACTTGGCTCTGCTTCAACTTGCCACTTGAAAAGGAATCATACATTGATGCAGTCTCTTCTTCTTCTTCTTCTTAGTGTTCAATGGCTGTCAAATGCAAAGGAAAAAGTTCTGGTTGTTCATCCACTCCTCGACTTTGGTGTTGATGCAGACCTTGAGTTTTGTGTGCACATCTGTTTTACAGATCTTAATTGTATGTACACTGTTGGTTCCTTGTCTCTCAGGCAGATGGACTGTGACTTTGAAGGAACCATCTCTAATTAGTGGCCTTCTAGGACATGCTTGTTGGGGGAAAAGGAGGGAGGGGGCGCATTGGGTCTATTATTTTGTCTCCAAAACCATTCCAATGTCATAAAATAACAAAGCAGCAAAAGCAACAGCACAAAACTAACAGCCAAGGAGTGGGGGAACGCAGGCATCCAGTCACACAGATAGTGCAGAGCAGTGTTATTTAACCATTTTATGCCTGGGGACCAGGATCACAGGAGAAATATTTGGAATTATCAGAGCCTCAAGTAGTGCAGCATTAGCTCTTAGCCAGTCCATCACTCTGTTTAGTTTTCCTCTTGTTTCGTCTTTCACATCGAGGGCAGACAGAAGTCTTAGCAAAACAATGTCTGCAAAAAAATGGAAATGATACTCATTATCAGCAGTCTCGTTTAGTGAGCTCTACCACTTGGCACTACCCTATTACAATAAGCAACACATTTCAATACACTCAATATTCTGCACTATCTAACACTACAATAATACAAGATAACAATTTCTACACGGCATAATTCACATCATCTATCTATTTATTGTCCTTCTCTGCTTAGGCATCAGGCAGAAGGAGACCGAAAGAACAGATGCTGGACAGTTTGGCACCATGGCATGAAAGATCATCTGCGCCAGAGTTGACTGAAAGTACACGAGACAGAAGGTTTTGGATAGACATGACTACCAACACCACACAGCATGGACTTTGAAAAGAAGAAGGAGACCTGGGTTCAAATCCTCGGTAATGGGTGATCATGTCTCTACGCCATATGGAACAGCATGCACCAGCACATGCGCCGCCATGACACAACAAAATGCTGTCAAGAACTGTCTTGCACTGTCCTCCCCTGCCTTCCCCTCCACGGATATTTTCAGTAGTCACAAAACGCTCCAGTGTTCCTATTCTCAAAACATGAACAAATAATGATGAACGTTTACTTCTGATATCTGTGATAAGTTGTTCTCCAGCCCTTGCCTTCCTCAAAACATTTGGGCTATCTAAGGAATTCTAAAGTTTGTCTATAGGTCACCATCTAGCAGGTCCTTTGTAGTACTGTAGTACATCGCTCTCATCACGGTCTGCCTGAAAGAAACTGGGTCTCTCACCAGCTCTCCAGCCTCATGTACTTTCATACTCAAGTCACCTTTATTCTGTGCCTATCTTCGTGTTCGTCAGCCCCTTCCTAGTATCATGCCTTCTTGTCTATACATACTGATATAATCTACAATGAGGGTCTGCTTCTCATCTCTGCAGATTTCTATTAAAAAAAAAAAATTACGTGACTAATCTTTCAAAGCTCTCCACAACATAGTGCCTGTGTTCGCAGCAGGAGCAAAAGTTTAGTAGATGCCGGAGAGAATATACTTTTCGCCATGATCATCAAATCTTCATGAAGTTTCTCTCAGATTCATACCAGAAGACTAATCTTTATGCCAGTAGGTCTTCCTAGTCTCACTCACCTCCCCATAGGCTGTTATTTCCATGCCTCACTCGAGCACAATATACCATTATCAACTGGAAATACAGAAAGGTGCCAACTAACTAGATGTGTGAGCAGTGTCTGAAAGATATCTCACCTGTGAAGAACATTGGAACACTTAGCACACACAACAGCTGTACTGTCAAAGGGAAACAAAATCTCCCTGTCACCGCAGAGCTCACAGCAGAAACCTCGTCCCTGACACAGCTAAACAAAGACAGAGAAAAGATCTGGAATAAGCAAATTTGCCACAGCAATGATTTAACACTTTCTATTCCTAGCAAATGCATCATTATGTATGCAAAGCAATGCATAGTGTCAGGTGTTCGTTACATGTGTTCTGAGCATACTAAATAAATCTGGCTGAATCAATGGCTCCTAACTATTTATTTTGACTCGCAGAACTCTTTTTAGAATCAATTTCTCTGGCAGAGCTCTTTAGGCCTACCGTACCTTACATCTTACAAATTAATGGTGTTTAGAAGTAATGTTAGAGGAAAGGTGGTGTGGACAGTAAGGGATTTGAAGTAAAGAGATATGTAAACAAATGTTCAATACCCACTCAATTAAACCATATTTTAACCGCTGTGAAATTTGCAATAATATTAAATGTATTCTCAGCTATCATCAATAGACATGATTTCACTAAAAGTGGGTCAAACATAAAAGTTCTTCCAAAGTTCAACAAATCAGTTTTGTTTATTAATCTTTAATTTCATTCAATTTTAAATTTCCCCCCCCCCCCCCCATAAAGACTAAAGAGCCTGGAGGTGCATGCACCCTAGGGCTCCCAGGAGCACCAGCTGGGATTCAATAGGCTAGGTAGTTTAACATGTACCCCGGCTCGCTAGCTCAGTTATTTAAACATGACTTCGCGGCGACTGGGTGATGAACTTCTTGTAGTTCGGTTTCAATCCAGAGGTTGACAGAAAAGCCACTTTCTCCCAAATTTACGGTATCTATCACTGAATCAAGGCCGAAGGGATGCGATATTCATAGTACCGAGCCAGAGGGTTAACAACTCAATGTTTCTGGATTTTAAAAAAAAAGTCAAATATGGCTCGCAGTCTATTCCTCCCTTCCATTCTATCCTGTAAAATCAGTTCGAGATCAAGGATGGTATCCAGTTTAGTAGCTTTGACCTCTCTATTCAACATTTATTTTAGGATTTCTTTTGGGCGTCCTCGCCTCTTAATCCCTTTATTTTCCATTCCAATGCCAGTTGGGTTATTCTCTGCTGGCTTCTTCTCACAGTGTGCCCAATGTAGCACCATATTCTCTGTCTTATAACTATTGATACTAGTGGTTGCCCAAATATTTCTCTTATTTCTTCACTCCCTTTGAATTCATCCCAATTTATTTTCATCATTTCCCTCTGCCATTTTTGAATGCACTTAACTGCATCATTCCATGTCTTTAGTGGTTTTCCAACTTTCACTGGTATATGTTAAAACTGAAATAACATTAGAACTGAAAACTTGATTTTAAAACTATACAATTTAAAGTTCCAGATTTTGTTCAAGCTTTTACAAGCTGCTGATGCCTTGCCTGTGTGTGTCCTAATTTATTTCTTTCTTTGTTTTTTTTTCCTCACTATCAACATTACTACCTAAATAAGTAAACTTATCTGCTACTTTAATTACTTTTGTCTCTAGTGTTACATCTGCTACTTTAATTACTTTTGTCTTTAGTGTTACATTTGCTTGATCTGTTGTTGGTATCATCAATATATTTGTCTTTTCAAAACAATTTGCAGTCTAACCTTTGATGCTATATTCGCTAAATCATCTGTTATCTTCCAACTGTATTCTTCACCCAGTCAATGCCGGTGTTTCCAAAACAACATTTTAAGAAAATCACCCAGTCAATGGTTATGCCAAATAACAGAGGGGGTCAGCTTGATTATTGTTTCACTGCAGTATCAACTTCAAACCAATCACTTAAACCATCGTTTGTTCACACCGCACACTCTGAAACTTCATAAATGCCTTAATAATAATATTAGCATTCTGAAATTTCCCACAATAATGTTCGGTGTAAGCTACAGCAGACGTGGCTTTTGTTTAGGTAAAAAAAAAAAAAAAACCAGTGCTGTGAAATCTTATGGAGGCTGTAGAAATTAACTGATCAAACACAATATTATATGTAACAGCTGTTGTCCACACCAGGCATATGACGCCAGGCCCATTGTTTACTGACCACCATTGACCAATGTGGTCACCATTTCTTCTTCTTCTTCTTCGTGTTCACCAGCTGTAAACTCTGGCAGAAATTTTTGGTTGTTCATCCACTTTTGGACTGCAGTCCTGTTTCAGAACCTGAGTGTTGCATGTGCATCCGTTTTACAGATCTGACTTATTTGTATGCAGACTGCTGGTTCCTTGCCTCTCAGGCAAATGCACCCCGTCTTTGAAAGGAGCTCCCAATTAGTCGAGAGTGAATAAACAGTGTAAAGACACAAACAGACCATCACAGTCGCAAAAAAAAAGGTTCAGAGAGAAGTGACTAGCTCTGGCTGACGCTCAGCACTCAGGGGAGGAACAACATGGACATACAATCAGATTGTTGCTAGCACCATCAGAATATTAAAATTCTGTGCTTGCTGCTGAAAATGACATAATAAAAAGCAAAGTCCAACTCCGGCCCAGCTCACCTGACAATCGACTTTAATATGGCGAGCCCATGTGCTGTGGACACTGACTAGTTCTGGAAGAAGAACATCCTCTGCATCAAATAAATCCTGCAGACATGAGAAACCATTCTGAACAAACAAAAGATTGAGGAAACTTCATTCTGCAAAAACACTGTTAGCTGTTTAATGCGACCAGGTAAGTCTAGTCATTTGTATACTGATCGTGATATCGCTTTCTGTACAAAATAAATGAAAGATTCCAGCATCGAAGCTGGGATGACCCCAAGCTGACCACATGTGAACAATAAAAACCACATCAGTGAAGGGAACTAACACAGTAAAGATCTTGTTAACATAAAATTCCAAAAGACTGAAAAAATCAACAGTTCATAGTGAAAACAATTAAGCTAACTGGAGACACAGATTTATTATGAATAATACATCCTTGATGGGATGACAATTTTGTTCGTTAACAGAGTGTTCATCTTGGGCGAAATCGAGTTAATGAGGATTTTCTGTAGTAAACATTATGCACAGAGTGTGGCTCTGTGGCTTAAAGGTTAGTGATCAGGTTTCATATTCCTCGAGAACCAGAGTTCTTCTTCTTCTTCTTAACGTTCACCAGCTGTAAACTCCGGCAGAAAGTTCTGTATTCTAGCCCTGTTCCAGAAAATGAGTGTTGTGTGCACATCCATTGCCCAGGTCTAACTAATTTGCATGCAGACTGTCGGTTCCTTGCCTCTTAGGCAAATGTACTCCAACTTCGAAGGAAGTTCCCAATTAGTCGACTAGTACGACATGCCTTTGGGCAGGCAGTGGGTCTATTCTTGTTCTCCCCATAATGGGGCCCAGGAACCCACACGGGGAGAACCAGAGTTCAGTTTTAGAAAAAGACCTTTCTAGTGGCTTTAAGAAAAAAGAGTTACACCATGAAATTGATTAGGTCTCACTATAAAAGTCTGCCAAACACAGCAGTGGAAATACTGCAGCAAGCTTACACTGTGGGGACAGAACAAAACTTTGTAAAAAGGGACTCCTAAAATCAGCTAAATAATAAACTTTTAATAGAATCAGTCAAATAATAAACTTTTCACATAATCAGCTAGGTTATAAACTATTCATAGTAGCAGCTAAAAAATAAACTATTCACAGAATCAGGGGGGGGGGGGGGGGGGGGGGGGGGGGGGGGGGGGGGTTGCTGAAACTGGATGTTTTGGGCTGGCAGGTGTAGATATCCAGTCTTGCTGGAATGTTGAACTAAGACTCGACCTCACAGCACTTGTGAAACATGATAAGTGCCCCAACTTCGGCAGCAAGCAAAGAGTTCCGGTTCTGACGGCACCAGTAACTGTCTGACTGTATATCCTTCTCACCTTTCCCATGAGTGCTGAGCATTAGCCAGATCCCTTAGTAACTCCTCGCAGCACCTAGCTGTAAATCATAACATAAACTAGTAACTGTCCTTCTAAGGGATCGAATGAAGATAAAGATGAAGAAGCCGTTATTCTCTGAAAATTTTTATTATTGACTGACTGGTTTGTCTATTATACATGCTGACATAATTAAATACGAGGGTCTTCTCATCTCTGCAGACTTCTATAGGAAATTTTCTTACAGATTTCTCTGAAAAATTACTAAATTACCTGCATGGAGTATCGGTCAGAGCTCTCCACAAAATGCTGCCTGTGTTCCAGCAGGAGCAGAAGTTTAGCAGACATGGCACTGATGCAGGAGAGAATATACTTTTTCATGATCATCATTTCTTCACGAAGCTTCTGTAAGATTCATAACAAGGGAATGCATGAGTTAACAACCGACATCACTACAGTAAAGAAATTCCCACACACTCCCTAACCCTGTCTTCAGTGGTCAGCATTACATGTGTGGGTTCCTGGGCTCCACTGGGGGGAAAACATGAACTGACCCACTGCCTCCCCAACAAGCATATCAAAGGAGTTTACTCATTGGGAGCCTCCTTCAAAGTAGAAGTGCATTTACCTGAGCGGCAAGAAAAACCAACTGCACACAAATAAGCCAGTAAAATGGATGGATGTATAGGCAAAACTCAAGCCCTGGCACAAAGCCAAAGTCCAAATGGACAAACAACTAGGACTGTCTGTGGGATGTTTATGTTTACTCAACAGATCAACATCATGGCACATGGATGTAACCCATGTTCTCCATTCTACTTCTAACTCAGGCCTGTCAGAAGAATCTCAGCGCAGTGCATGCACTCTGTTGCACCAGCGAGGATCCTGAAACATTTTGGGAAGATTTTTTATTCCAAATTTTGCCCGTCAGCGCCGTTAGACTACTCTTTTTGATTTCCAACTACCAAGGGATTATTTACATGCCCAACAATATATACGGGCATCCGATCTTACTACCCAGAGACCAGGGGAAATTACTAGAAGTCCACGTGAAAAAAAATCGCAGCCTTCACTGGGGCTTGAACCCAGGGCCTCCAGCACTCGAGGAGGACACCATACCTCAAGACAACTCAGCCTCCATTGCAGCTTACAGCCGATGCACAAAGAAGAAGAAAAAGGAGTAGTCAACAAAGAATTCCCATATCAATAGTGCCGCTAACAACCAGATGAACAATCTACTTCTCTTTCTTCTGTAGGCAGATTGCTGAACAAATTCTTTGCACACTCCTTGCTGAAAAGTCTTGCCTGATACACATCTTCTTGTCTGTTCTGCCGCACTATCCACCTGCACTATCCCAGAGAGCACCCAATACATCCACCTTATCATAAACTAGTTCACTTTCCAGATTGGCAACAACGGCTGATCCATCAGTCTTCTCAGTGCCCCTACACTTTCATAGCCAAGGGAGAAAATCCAGGATGTTTTACAAAAAGAGACTGCAACATACAGCTTACCATTCAACAGTAAACAATAACCCCTGAGGCTTGCATATAAGAAAATATCCCTTGAGATTCACCTGTAAGCAAATGTCCACACTGAGGTTCACCTGTAAGCAAATGTCTACACTAAGGTTTGCCTGTAAGCAAATGTCCACAATGAGGTTCGCCTGTAAGCAAATGTCCACACTGAGATTCACCTGTAAGCAAATGTCCACACTGAGGTTTGCTTGTAATCAAATGTCAAAACTGAGGTTCACCTGTAAGCAAATGTCCACACTGAGATTCACCTGTAAGCAAATGTCCACACTGAGGTTTGCTTGTAATCAAATGTCAAAACTGAGGTTCGCCTGTAAGCAAATGTCCACACTGAGATTCACCTGTAAGCAAATGTCCACACTGAGGTTTGTCTGTAAGCAAATGTCCACACTGAGATTCACCTGTAAGCAAATGTCCACACTGAGGTTTGCTTGTAATCAAATGTCAAAACTGAGGTTTGTCTGTAAGCAAATGTCCACACTAAGGTTTGCCTGTAAGCAAATGTCCACAATGAGGTTCGCCTGTAAGCAAATGTCCACACTGAGATTCACCTGTAAGCAAATGTCCACACTGAGGTTTGCTTGTAATAAAATGTCCACACTGAGGTTTGCCTGTAAGCAAATGACCACAATGAGGTTTGCCTGTAAGCAAATGTCCACACTGAGGTTTGCCTGTAAGCAAATGACCACAATGAGGTTCACCTGTAAGCAAATGACCACAATGAGGTTTGCCTGTAAGCAAATGTCCACACTGAGATTCAACTGTAAGCAAATGTCCACACTGAGATTCAACTGTAAGCAAATGTCCACACTGAGAGTTGCCTGCTAGCAAATGACCACTTACGTTCACCTGTAAGCAAATGTACCTTGAGGTTTACTTGTAAAAACGGCTGTCCACTGGATTTCACATGTAAAGAAATGTCCACTCAGCCTCACATTAAGCAAATATCTGCTGAGGGTCACTTGTAAACAATGGTTTTGGAGATGAAAGAAGAGTTTGAAGGCATACATTTTGAAACAGACATTTACCTTAATCTCATTCAGCTGATCAACATAAACAAACAACATGGGATTTATGTCTTGAATTCTAATCACAGCCTTCTTCTGCATGAGCCTTAAAAATTGCTTGGATGCTCGACAGACCTGTCAACAGAAAACAGGAAGCTTTATAAATTAAAGAAACTAAGTTCCAGCAAATGATAAATAGCATCTTTATCCCTACTTAATGTTATCAGTGCCAATCATGGACAATGAATAGGGCATTAGAACAGAAAATAACTACATGTGAAATATGCTGTCTCCTGAAAGTCAAAAACATCACAAGATGAGATAGGGTCATGAATACCAGCATCAAAGAGAAAGTTGGAATAAGACCATGTCTGGATTATACTGACAAACAAAGAATGAAGTAGTTCAGCCATCTATGATAATGCAGCCAGACCAGATCGCACATGAGACTTTTTTACAGTAGAACATCTGAGAGGAAGGCGAGAGAAAGACCAAGAAAGAGACGGATAAATGGTGTAGTTAAAACCTGCAAAAATATAAACAACATCATTCAAGCTAACCAAGTTGCTCAAGACACATACAGAAAATCACAACACTGGGCTACAACCTGGTATCAGTGATATGATACAAGAAGAAGAAGACTAAATTAGATTTATCAACAAATATTCATAAACGCACAAATGTTAAAATGAAAAGACCCATTAATACAACATGAGATAAACTTGGCACATGATTTAAAAAAATTTTCTGCAGTCACCTTTAAAAAGGACAGTTGGCATGTTGCGTTGTAGCTTGTAGTCTACAGCTAGGCTGTGATATCTGTGCCTTTCAGCCCCATGCATCTGATTTCAACACACTCCTCACTAGTCAACTTTTATGACAATTTTGTTAGGAGGCGGTAAATATATTTACACTATAGAAGTGATAAGGAGAAGCAGCAATGGCAACAAAGACACACACACATGCAGAAGAAGAAGAAGAAAAGGAAGCTGACCTTGTGTGGTGTGAAATCCCAGTTGTGCAACACTCGAGCAGGCATGACAAATGTGTTGTTCCAGTGGCAGAACTCGCAATAGTAACGACCTGTGTAGTCACACAGCCGTGGTTCACTGTGCCCACTCTCTGGAGGTACATATGAAAAGTGCTGGAGTAGGTTAATTAGATGCACAAACAAACAAAAAAGGAACAAAGACTGTTAGGTAATAGCAACAGATGCACAAACAAATGAATACTCAAACAAAAAGAAAAATCAATTTAAATACCAAACTATATACCAAAAAAAACAAAACAAAACAAAAACTCACTATAAGAGATAGCTGATCGACATTCCCAGCACCTGTAATTCTGCCCAGCCAAACCATTGCTTTCCTTCGGACAGATTTCGGTGATCAGTGTCGGGTTTTCTAAAACCTAAACATGACAAACATTTTGCTGTGAAAAACTTAGTATAAACAGTTGGTAAGCCAGAAGGTGAAAATTCAAAATTCTTTCATGGTGTCATGAGAATGGGAAAAAAATTAAGTATGTTATAACAATGGCAAAGAAACTTGAAGGGAAAGAGAGGTAGAGGCTAAGAGAGGAGATGAAGAGCAGTTAAGCATGATAGCATGGAAGAACTTCTTTATCAGAAATGACTGACAGAACATGAGACAGAATGCTGTGAACAGGCATGATTAGCAATGCAACACAACATGGGCTATAAGAAGACAATGAGCATAATTTAACCGTAGTGCCCCCCCCCCCCCCCCCCCCCCAAAAGGACAAATCTAATTCGGTTGTAATGCAGCCCTATAAACTCTGATATATCGCCAATTCTGCAGTAAACTGTTCTTGAGTTCTATGTGTGCCTGCATAGTGTTTAGGAGTCCAGGATGTTAATATATTAACTTAATATAGTATTTTAGAGGTTTTCTGATTAATCTATAATCTGTTATTTTTCTCAGTGCCAGATTGACTTAAAATGTTCCCGTAAGCCTCAGTGATACAGATAACTGGGTCATGGCATGAGTCACTAAATACATATTAATTTTAGGCTCCCTAGAATGCATTCCAGTTAATGCTTCACTTTTTCCCTTTTTTTACATTCTTTATTTTATTTTGACGAAGCAAATTATATAAATACATTTTTTAACAATTTATTAGTTACCTGTGTTTGTTTTTTTTAAAACTGTTTTAAGACATTTTTAGAAATTCCTATTGGTTTGTAACTAATTTTTTTTTTTTTTTTTAAATATTGCAGGGTGAAACTGTTAAACAACCGCATATATGCTTACTATAGATTTTTGACAGCTCCAGATGAAATGCAGTTAAAGAAATGGATACAACTACAATGGAAAGTCAAAACAATGGTCCTTGTCTATACAGCAGATAGACAGAACTAAAGAGCATTTACAAATTTAGAAAATGTCCTCTACAATATCAAAGTTAATAAGAGTGATAGAAACATATGAAGAAAGTCGATGCATTTAAGAATTTAGGGTTCTTGATAATGGCAAGAGTGTTTTGAAAAAAAAAAGTTCAATCTTTTAGTAGTCAGAATAAACATTTTAATGTATATGATGAAGTATATTTGCAACATAAAAGTGTTGTCAAAGACACTGGAAATGAGCATTCCAAAGAGCTAACAGCCAATTCTGATTTACAGAAGTGAATCCACAGATTATCAACAAATAATGTAGAATCTGCAGAGATGATTTTTTACAGATGAATGAGAACATCAAAAACAAAAACAAATGTATAATACAAACAAAAACTCACAGTTTCAGTGAAGACATCAAAGAACTTCCTAAACACATGACATGCCAAACCAAGTGCAGACTACGAGATTACACCCATGACCTTTAGAGCGCACAGCAACCGGCAAATAACATCACACAGCGCCTTTATAATGAAAACTACAACCTTGATAGTTCAGGTCAAACAGTTTTAGCACTTCCCTATCGAGACCTTCATAACAAGGTGAAAAACGTGAACAATATTTACAAATTAAATATACTAACCTTTGCCTTCGCACACGTCCGAAGTATTTGCTGTAAACATTTCTCATGACATCTGTAACCACACTCTGTTTGCAAAAAATACCAATGAGACAATATTAAATTTTTCTCACCTGCTAGACAACACTGAAGTTTTCCCCATTAGCAACACAACATTCAACTGCTCCATTCCACCAGATCATATTTGACTTTTCCCACAAGGAACACAATAACCAACTTTTCCTCATCTGCCAGAAAATATTCAACAGTTCCCATCGGCCAGACAGTATTCAACTTTACCCATCGGCCAGAAAATATTCAACAGTTCCCATCGGCCAGACAGTATTCAACTTTACCCATCAGCCAGACAGTATTCTTCAACTTTACCCATCAGCCAGACAGTATTCTTCAACTTTACCCATCAGCCAGACAGTATTCTTCAACTTTACCCATCAGCCAGACAGTATTCTTCAACTTTACCCATCAGCCAGACAGTATTCTTCAACTTTACCCATCAGCCAGACAGTATTCAACTTTACCCATCAGCCAGACAGTATTCTTCAACTTTACCCATCAGCCAGACAGTATTCAACTTTACCCATCAGCCAGACAGTATTCTTCAACTTCACCCATCAGCCAGACAGTATTCAACTTTACCCATCAGCCAGACAGTATTCTTCAACTTTACCCATCAGCCAGACAGTATTCAACTTTACCCATCAGCCAGACAGTATTCTTCAACTTCACCCATCAGCCAGACAGTATTCAACTTTACCCATCAGCCAGACAGTATTCTTCAACTTTACCCATCAGCCAGACAGTATTCTTCAACTTTACCCATCAGCCAGACAGTATTCAACTTTACCCATCAGCCAGACAGTATTCAACTTTACCTATCAGCCAGACAGTATTCTTCAACTTTACCCATCAGCCAGACAGTATTCTTCAACTTTACCCATCAGCGATACAACATTCAACCTTTCCTATTAGCAACGCAATATTCAGCTTGTCTCATCTGCTAGACAACATTTATTTTTGACCATCTGCAAAAGCTTTATTAGTCTGTTGACATCTATAAAAACATATCTTTCAACATTATGAAAATTGCACAGCTCAATTAAAAACGTTTAAAATCTCAGAAAAATTACAATGCTCAGTAAAAACCCTACTGAATTGTGAGAACATTACATTAATAAGTAAAACTATATTAAATCAGAGGAAAGTAATTGTAATATTGACCACATCACATGCAATATTGACCCAATAATGTGTAATTCTGACGTGCATTAGATGTAAAACTGACTGCAGAACATGTTATACTGACCAAATCACATGTAACACTGACTACATTTATATGTAATACTGATCCTATCACATGTAATATTGACCCAATCCAAGGTAATAATTGTCCTACCACCAGTAATACTGGCCATACCACATGTAATACTGAACACATCACATGTAATAATTATCCTACCCCAGGTAATACTGACCATACCACATGTAATACTGAACACATCACATGTAATAATTATCCCACCACCAGTAATACTGGCCATACCACATGTAATACTGACCACATCACATGTAATAATTGTCCTACCACAGGTAATACTGACCATACCACATGTAATACTGACCACATCACATGTAATAATTGTCCTACCACAGGTAATACTGACCATACCACATGTAATACTGAACACATCACATGTAATAATTATACTACCACAGGTAATACTGACCATACCACATGTAATACTGAACACATCACATGGAATAATTATCCTACCACAGGTAATACTGACCATACCACATGTAATACTGACCACATCACATGTAATAATTGTCCTACCACAGGTAATACTGACCATACCACATGTAATACTGAACACATCACATGTAATAATTATCCCACCACCAGTAATAATGACCATACCACATGTAATACTGACCACATCACATGTAATAATTGTCCTACCACCGGTAATACTGACCATACCACATGTAATACTGACCACATCACATGTAATAATTGTCCCACCACAGGTAATACTGACCATACCACATATAATACTAAACACATCACATGTAAATATATACAGAATGTCACTCTCATCATGGCACACCTGAAAGTCTCTCTTTCTCTGGCCAATTCTATGTCCAATATGCTTTCACAGAAAATGCATCATCATTGTCTGGCGCAATCTTTGCAGAGGTCTCTCTCTGTTTCATTTTCAAGACAATGTACCCTACATACTTTGTAATGGTGCTAAATATACACACAGAATAAGGGGTCTGAATGGTTATTAGAATTAGGCAAGTCCCCAGGTTGCAAGCCACGAGGTTAGCGTGGGAAATAAAGAACACAACATTTAGTGAGTTGGATTGGGCATCCTGAGGTAACAGGGGTGAGAATTACTGGTCATTCTGCGACAGGACCCCAGAGGGTTCGGAATGAAAAGTGAATCCTTAGTGAAGTGACTGTGGTCATTCTACTTTAAAGCATATTTGAAGACAACGTCAGTGTCTGATTGAGTGAGGTTTGCTTGACTGTGTGTAGGTCAGCATCCAACATGGAGTAGCTGTGTGCCCAGGCATGAGAGCAAATGATCCTTGCCTACATAGTGTAAGTTAGATTGTCAGATTGATGCGTGTTGTATCTTAGAGATGGAATAAACCTAGAATTGGTCATCGTCATGGTCGACTATCATTTATAGTAGTGTGATCATTGAAGTAAGATAGTCTACCTCGTCTATTCTACATTAGTGACCCCTAGACAACGATCTGGGTTGAATGAGTATAAGTGGAAGCAAGTAAAAAGGAAAGAAAGAGACCCAGAAAAATAAGGGTGACACTTCTTTATATGAACATCTTTATGATAGGAGAGAAAGTGACTTCTTTACATCGTTGTTCTCTCTAGTTACTATGCAATAAATATTTGTCGATACAAGTCGGAAAAGAAAACTTAAGACTGTATATAAATACCCATACTACTGTTTGCAAGTAAATCCTCAGATATTCAAGGGAAAGATGTGAGAATTTGTGGACAGTTATAAAGTGAATGATCAAGTGCTATTTGTTCTGTTCTGCTCAACTTCAAACAAAAGATGATGGCATCTAGAAATTTCTAAAACGAAACACACACACAAAAACCAGCAAAAAGAACCAACCTGTGCACTTGTACCACACCTGCAGCATGCCCCAGATTGCCGCATTACAGCGCTCACAATAATATTTGCTGGTCCGACTGCTCATGAGCATCATTTTGTGAGACAAGATGAGCTTCACATTGTCTGGCACTGGTTCTGGACCTTCCTGTGCAGAGATAAAACAGGAAAACAATCAGCTACATTGCTGAGGAATACAGTAGCTGGATGATGGTCTGGTTACACCCATAAGCGGTGCAGGTCCCCACTGGACAAGGCAGTTCTTGAACTCCCCTTTAACATAGTTTCTTTTCAACGATTTGTGTAGAGACTAATTTTTTAGTCGCTGTGGCGTAGCGGCTAGATGCTCGCGTGCAGAGCCAGACTTTTTCAAAAATGACTTCAACTACCAGGTTGACCTAGCCTTGAATGGGTACCGGGTGCAGTCCCGGGAAGTAAAGGCAGCCGGCATGAGGCTGACCCATCACCCATCTTATGCCTATTGGTCTATAAAAATATAGGTCTAGCCCTATTTGCCCTATACGCCTAAAGGCGTGGAACAGGGATCTTTACTTCCTCATTTTTACTTGCAAAGTAAGTATTTGTAGGTTGCAATTTTTTTCTGTGAGGGTAGTGCTCTTAATGGCTCTACATAAAAAGATTTTACTGTATTAGGTTTAAAATATAATGCTAAATTTATGTGCCAATTTTCATTTAGTCATCTAATTTGATTTTTGAGTTAGCCTGATACCATGGGAACTACAAATGTGGCCATTTTCCACACAAAGTATGACATTTTTAAGGAATAACCATGAAAATATGTTGATTTTAGCCCAAAAAAACAATTAATCGTCCTTAAATCTTTAAACAATACATACACATAAAAGCACTGTTTCTAGAAGATACAATTAAATTGATTTTGGCAGTTTAACCTGTCCTAAAGGTACATATGTAAAAACTGATACAGCTCCTAGGTCAACACCGCCAAAAATAGGTACCAAGAAATATTATGGCAAGTGAATGTGGCCAGTGTATGTTTAGGTTATCTGGATAACCAAATATTCTTGCTGTTCTGTTTAAAGCATAATCGTCTTTTACCATCATAATAATTTTCTCTTTCTCTGAAAGAGTTAAGTGGCAAAAACAAAAATAAAAACTTCTGAGTTTGGTTTAGTACTGTACTCATCGGGAGCCTAGTTGACCATGTTCTTGGTGCACTTGTATTCATGGCGAGGCGCAGAAGCCGTCTGGAGGTGACAGGTTCAATTTCCGGCACGGTAATTATAGCTTTCGATTTTTATGTTGTCTAGTGTGTTCTTCTATCTATCTACTTCTTTCTATGAGTGCCGATCAATACACTTTCTATTACTTGATTCATTCATAATATTTAACGGCCTCAAAGGTTCCCCCTCTGTTTATTTATAAAATGGGACAATGTCTTGAGATAGCAATTATACTACTTTCCCCAAAACCGAGATAACTGTAAAAGATCTTAAAATCATTCCATTTGAACCTATCTAAGGCTACTATCATATAACAGATAAAAGATAGATAAGCCTACTGCAGAAATGGCCCTTTTAACTATGACTTCACGTACAGTACACTATAGGTCAAGAGAGAAAGAGAGAGAGAGAGACACACACATACACACTCCCACACACACACACAGTCTGCCTTTGCCTCTCTTCCCTTCCAACTTTCCCACCGTCACGTGTACTCCAGTTTTCTCCTTCTCATTACATGACCAAAGAATGTAGATTGTCTCTCTCTGATGTGGGCAATCAGTTCTCTTCGTGAGTCAGTTTCATTCAAAACATCTTCATTACACTTTGTATCTGTCCAGGGTATTCTCATCATTCATCTATATAACCACATCTCTGCAGCTTCCAAATAAGTTTTCACTAATTTACTTAGTACAGACATATAGCACAGTTATATTAAGACACTGGTCAGAACTATTTTTTGGCCAACACTATGCTATCAATGCCAAACTTACATCCTCCAATAAACGTAAAATTGTGACAACAGAGATGAAATGCCTTAGAAGAGCTGCAAGAGTTTCAAGGAAAGACAGAATACGAAATCACGAAATCAGACGAATGCCAGGAATAAAGCCAGTCTTACAGGTGATCAAAGAACAACAAATGAAGTGGTTTGGACACCTAACAAGAATGCCCTGGTACTATCTGCCACAGCGAGCCACATTAAAACAATACAACTGGTATACAGCGAGTGTAAGACCTCAGAAACAATGCAGTGATGGCATAAAGAACAACCTTACGGAAATTAACATCAATCTTAATAGTGCTCTTGACAGAGCTCATCAACGAATATTACATCTCCCCCCGACACTTCACTGAGGTATATGTTGGAAGAGAAGAAAAAGAAAAAGAAGAAGATGTTAAGACACAAGAAAATGGTTACGAAGTGGGTGGGTGTGCTGGTTAATTCCTGGTATCAGCTCGACCATGTTACCTCCGTTTGCCTTGCCACACATAATGCCCCAAAAAATCCTCTCTCTCCCTTCCATGCTCATCAGCTGTAAGCTCTGGCAGAAAGTCCTGGCTGTTCATCCATCTGGACTTTGGCTTTGTGCCCAGGCCTGGGTTTTGCATGTACATCCATTTCACTGGCTTATTTGTGTGCAGTTGGTTCTTCTTTGCTGCTCGGGCACATGCACTCCAACTTCGAAGGAGCCCCCCCCCCCCCCCCCCCCCCCCCATTACAGTTACAAACACATGCTTGGGGAGGCAGTCGGTCTACTCTTATTATGTTTCTGTTTATATTTATTGAGCAGATTAACATCGTGGTACACGTGTGCAACCCATAAGTGGTCCATTCTACTTTTAACTCAAGTCTGAGTCTGAAGATTCTCAGCGCAGTGCACGAACTCCGTTGCACCTACAAGGATCCTGAAATACTTTGGCTAGATTTTTAAGACTAAATTTTGCCCTGGCAGCACCGTTAGGATGCTCTTTTCGATTTCCAGCTGCCAAGATATTTTGTATGCGCGCAAAAATACACATGGGCATCCAATCTGACTACCCAGAGACCAGGGGAAATTACTAGAGGTCCACGTGAAAAAATCCCAGCCTTCACCGAGCTTGAACCCGGGACCTCAAGCACTCGAGGCAGACACCAAACCTCGAGACCACTCAGTCCCCACTCAGCTATTCTTAATATCCTCAAAATGGGGCCCCCACAACCACCCCAGGAAGCCCTAATAATGATCCAGTAAAATTAACCAAGCGACAACAGAAAGAAAAAAATAACATACAGACAGTTAGTGAGAAAGAGATGGAATGAGAAAGCAAAGTATGGATGTTAAGTGTTCAAACCTTGACTTCTTGCAATTTAATCTTCAGCTGCACCAGTTTCAAGACCAGGTTTTTCTGTTTGTCTGAGCCTGGGACTGTGTCTCGGATAAGTTCCTTACAGTTTTCTATTGCCAGCTCTAGTTCTTCAGCTCCACTCAACCCAAAATGACCCTGAAAATACAGGTAAACCTCATATTATGTCCTTTTAAAATATATATTATGTCAATTCATATCAAGTTATTTACATGGAGAATGCAAAACATTTTTAGAAATCAAACATTGTGGTGTCTCTATAGTGGAAGTTGGTTGTCTTCTTCTTTTCTTTGCATTCTTTTTTTCTTCTTCTCTTTCACCTTGTACCTCAGCGATGTGTTGAAGGGGAGATTTAACATTCGTTGCTGAGCTCTGTCAAGAGCATTCACAGGCTGTAAACTCTTGCAGACAGTTCTACTTATTAATCCACTTCTGGCACTTAGGTTCCGGAACAAGACTAAGGTTTTTTGCAGACTGTTGGTTTCTTACCTCTCAGGCAGATGCATTCCGACTTCGAAGGAAGCCCCTAGTTCGCTGACTCTTACCACATGCATCGTGGGGAGGCAGTGGGCCTATTCTCATTGTCCACATAATGGGCTCCCGAACCCACACAGGGAGAAGCTTGTTGTGATGTATCCACTGCTTACTATAGAAAAATTACATGATGAGGCCGAAGTTTTTTCCACTGTGTGACTCTCATACTATCATTTAAACGCCACTCAGTGGTACAGTGGTAATCGAACCCTGATAAACATTGAGGTTGTCTTGTAAAACAATTGCACTAAACTCTAAGCCCCGTAACATACACTGCTATATTCCAGATTTGTGACCTACCCAAGTGTGAAGTTTATCACATAGTCTATAAAGTGCAAAACTGGTCTATGAATATGCTTAACAGAAATTCCTAAAAGTTATACAGTGCCACGCGCTATTGAATTGAAGTGAATTACAAAATGTCAGCTTTTTTTTTTTTCGTGTTCACCGGACATAACTCCTACGAAAAGTACTGATTGTTCGTCCATTTCTTGAATTTGGTCCTGTTCCAGAATTTGGGTCTGTGGGCACATCTATTTTACAGATCTGGTTTGTGTGTATGCAGGCTGTTAGTTCCTAGCCTCTCAGGTAGATACATTCTGACTTAGAATGAAACACCCCTTATTAGTCAAATTTTATGACAGGCTTGTCAGGGGGCACTAAATAGGGTGTTGCTGTTGATATCACTCACGCTGGTCACTTTTTCCCTCTACAACCCGGTACCAGGGAATGTCCCGAAAAGGGAAGGCAGCTGAATTACATGAGTTGAACTGAGTTCCAGATACAGCTTGGATACAGGGGACCAAATCCTCATAGGGATTCAAATCCACAGCTGCTAGACTGACAGGCAGGCAAACATGCTTGTCATAGCAATACTGTTGCTCCCAAACATCTGCAGATATTCCCTCTTATAATAGTGGATATTCAGTACCCTGAAAAATAGCGCCCATTTTCCTTAGATTTGTTACAACTAATATGTTTTACTGTAGTTAAAAATGTGCACATTCCAGTGCTTCTATTGATTATTTTGTGCTATTGCGAACTTTTAATATTACTTGATGTGTGAATGAAATGATGTAAGAATGGAGGGAAACCTCGAAGGGCAGAATGTTAGACCGGCCTGCGTGCCCAATTCTTAACCCTTTAAAAATAAAGTTTGTTTGTTCGTTCGTTCGTTCTGTCACAAACTTTTGCATTAGCCGTCATCCACTACCACTTGAGATGAATTTGGGATTTCTCTTAAATAAACTATGATGTCATTTCACTACCTCTCCAGTACTTTCGAGAAAATTACTGAGGACATGATCATAATAATGTAATCTGAAGTGGATGAATATGACAACATTGCACTGTCAAGTGCACAGAGAAGATCCTAATGTTACCCTACCCCGAGACTTTGATGAAGTAATTGTTTATATTAAGAAAAGAAGATGATGACGAATATGATGGCTTGAGTGTACTATCTATTGTTTTGCCAGTTCTTCCTCCTCCTCTTCTTCCTTTTCTCATAATGTTTCCTCCTTTTTTTCCTACTCCCCTTCCTTCCTCCTCCTATTCTTTATATTCCCTCATTTCTTTAACTTTTTCTTTCTAACCATCTTCTTCTTGTTATTCCACCTTATCCCCTTCTGTTGCTGCTTCTTTAAAAAAAAAAAAAAAAGGTTGGCTGATCAGCTGTTCTGAAGCATATATTTCTTTTCCAGAAAAACCTGAAGCCCCAATTTTATCAGACTGATTCAACTAAAAAAACCATGCTGGCTGGAGCCACTGCTGAACATAAAACACTGACCACTATATAGATAAGCTGGTTTACTATTCATGATAAAGCCTTGGTTAACATTTTTTTAATATTTAATAATGTTCTTCTTTGTTCCTTTGTGTGTGTGTGTGTGGGGGGGGGGGGGGAGGGGGTGTCACATATAGTTTTGCATTTCTCTAGTTCATAAGAGTGTCTCCCCTTGGATATGCATTTCTAAAAGACTGACTTGCTAAAGATAAATTTTATTTAATGTTATAGTAGCTATTTTAAAAGTTAATTGCATATCCTTTACAGGACGTTGCAGAACTAACGCCAGCATTTTTGTTGTTGTAGCTGTTTGGGTTTTTCTAGACAAATGTTACACTCAGGAGTTTACCGCTGCTTCTGAATGGTCAGCTCTCAATACCATTGGCGAAACCAACGCAAGACAAGCCATCCTAAGCTGGAATGGAATCCAGCACCCTGGCATTATAAAGCGCATTCACAACGCCAAAGCCACAGACACAGACAGAATTTATATACCTGTGGGTCTCTGCTTTAACTAATTTGCCAGCAATTCAGCCTCAAGGCCTACTCATTACAACTTTCATCCACTCAATGGTTTTTAATATGAACCTCACACTTATCTGATAAGTCTTTGTATCCAGTCTGGTACCCAAGAGATTACAGGGAAGTGTGACATCACTAAAACACAACAGTTCTTGTCAAAACATCCAGCACTATGCCAGTATTCAAACACCCAGCACTATGCCAGTATTCAAACACCCAGCACTATGCCAGTATTCAAACACGCAGCACTATGCCAGTATTCAAACACCCAGCACTATGCCAGTATTCAAACACCCAGCACTATGCCAGTATTCAAACACGCAGCACTATGCCAGTATTCAAACACCCAGCACTATGCCAGTATTCAAACACCCAGCACTATGCCAGTATTCAAACACGCAGCACTATGCTAGTATTCAAACACCCAGCACTATGCCAGTATTCAAACACCCAGCACTATGCTAGTATTCAAACACCCAGCACTATGCCAGTATTCAAACACCCAGCACTATGCCAGTATTCAAACACCCAGCACTATGCTAGTATTCAAACACCCAGCACTATGCCAGTATTCAAACACCCAGCACTATGCCAGTATTCAAACACCCAGCACTATGCCAGTATTCAAACACGCAGCACTATGCCAGTATTCAAACACGCAGCACTATGCTAGTATTCAAACACGCAGCACTATGCCAGTATTCAAACACGCAGCACTATGCCAGTATTCAAACACCCAGCACTATGCCAGTATTCAAACACCCAGCACTATGCCAGTATTCAAACACCCAGCACTATGCCAGTATTCAAACACGCAGCACTATGCCAGTATTCAAACACGCAGCACTATGCCAGTATTCAAACACGCAACACTATGCCAGTATTCAAACACCCAGCACTATGCCAGTATTCAAACACGCAGCACTATGCCAGTATTCAAACACGCAGCACTATGCCAGTATTCAAACACCCAGCACTATGCTAGTATTCAAACACGCAGCACTATGCCAGTATTCAAACACCCAGCACTATGCCAGTATTCAAACACCCAGCACTATGCCAGTATTCAAACACCCAGCACTATGCCAGTATTCAAACACCCAGCACTATGCTAGTATTCAAACACCCAGCACTATGCCAGTATTCAAACACGCAGCACTATGCTAGTATTCAAACACCCAGCACTATGCCAGTATTCAAACACCCAGCACTATGCCAGTATTCAAACACGCAGCACTATGCCAGTATTCAAACACCTAGCACTTTGCCAGTATTCAAACACCCAGCACTATGCCAGTATTCAAACACGCAGCACTATGCCAGTATTCAAACACCCAGCACTATGCCAGTATTCAAACACCCAGCACTATGCCAGTATTCAAACACCCAGCACTATGCCAGTATTCAAACACCCAGCACTATGCCAGTATTCAAACACGCAGCACTATGCCAGTATTCAAACACCCAGCACTATGCCAGTATTCAAACACCCAGCACTATGCCAGTATTCAAACACCCAGCACTATGCCAGTATTCAAACACACAAGCTTCAAGCTGACCTGAACATCACAACTTCTCATCCATACCACTCATTATGTTTAGTCCACAATTCAAGTCATTGAGATAACCTGTGCTCAACAATTGACTCTGCACTCAGGTCATTCCCTCACATGCCTGTCTCCTTCATTAGCAGTCAACTTCAATTTACACGAAAACAGACAGTAACTCCTTCACGAGCAGCCGACTTTAATTTACACGAAAAACAGACAGTAACTCCTTCACGAGCAGCCGACTTTAATTTACACGAAAAACAGACAGTAACTCCTTTACGAGCAGCCGACTTTAATTTACACAAAAACAGACAGTAACTCCTTCATGAGCAGCCAACTTCAATTTACATGAAAACAGACAGTAACTCCTTCATGAGCAGCCAACTTCAATTTACATGAAAACAGACAGTAACTACTTCACGAGCAGCCAACTTTAATTTACATGAAAACAGACAATAACTCCTTCATGAGCAGCCAACTTCAATTTACATGAAAACAGACAGTAACTCCTTCATGAGCAGCCAACTTCAATTTACATGAAAACAGACAGTAACTACTTCATGAGCAGCCAACTTGAATTTACATGAAAACAGACAGTAACTCCTTCATGAGCAGCCAACTTCAATTTACATGAAAACAGACAGTAACTACTTCATGAGCAGCCAACTTGAATTTACATGAAAACAGACAGTAACTCCTTCATGAGCAGCCAACTTCAATTTACATGAAAACAGACAGTAACTACTTCATGAGCAGCCAACTTGAATTTACATGAAAACAGACAGTAACTCCTTCATGAGCAGCCAACTTCAATTTACATGAAAACAGACAGTAACTACTTCATGAGCAGCCAACTTGAATTTACATGAAAACAGACAGTAACTCCTTCATGAGCAGCCAACTTCAATTTACATGAAAACAGACAGTAACTACTTCATGAGCAGCCAACTTTAATTTACATGAAAACAGACAGTAACTCCTTCATGAGCAGCCAACTTTAATTTACATGAAAACAGACAGTAACTCCTTCATGAGCAGCCAACTTTAATTTACATGAAAACAGATAGTAACTACTTCATGAGCAGCCAACTTCAATTTACATGAAAACAGACAGTAACTCCTTCATGAGCAGCCGACTTTAATTTACACGAAAGCAGACAGTAACTAACTTGGGGATGAGAGAAGTGATCCTCTGATAAGCCAAGCTCTGCAAACGAAATGTCTGATGGGTCATGCTGCCAGTCAGGTCCTTGTGATACCGAAGCTGTTGAGAGAGGAAAAGAGCTCTTAAAGTCAAGCTGTCAACTGTATGTTGTATATCCTTCTCAGGACCAATCCTTGCATTAACTGGTTGTTGTGTGGTTATACTAGGCAATTTTACTCTCAGCATTTTGTGATTGAGGGGAGAAAAAGAATTCACAGGAGATATATAAATCGTACCCTGATATATAGAAGTCATTCATACCATTAGCCAAATAATGAAAAAATTATGTGGAATTGGTGGAGATGTGGTTTTTATAGATGCATGATGAGAATAGATAAAAAGAGTAATGAAGATGGCTTGAAGATCAACTGCCCCCTCCCCCCTTTCCCCCAACAAGCTTGTCATAGGAGGCGACTAATCAGGGGTGTACCCTTCTGAGTGCATCTGCATCAGAAATGAGGAACTAACAGTCTGCATACAAATAAGCATGAGTGTAAAACGGATGTGGGTCTACTCCCCAATCCACCAAAATGGGGCCTCAAAACCCACACAGGAAAACCAAACTTCAGATCTGGACAAACAACGAGAACTTTCTGCCAGAGTTTACAACCGGTGTAAGCTATGAAGAAGAAGAAGAAATCAGGTATGCTGGAATTAATAAACTGTCTTGAAACTTAAATCACAGATGCAAAAAGTATGACAACAATTCTAAGATTGTGACTGCTCTATCAAATATGCCAAGCTACATGCTGTATTTCCTGCTACACTGTGACTAAATAGGCCAGCATAATACTTTGCATATAACACAAGTACAGTACTAACTGTACTTTGGCTTCTATCTATCTAGTCTGTCATCCTCCGTAAATATGCTTCGTAGATATTATTTAACTCCTCTTAACTAATACTGATATGTACACATAAAGAAATATAAATATCTAGGAAGCACATTTACCGAGGATGGCAGACTAGATAGAGAGATAGAAGCCAGAGTACAGAAGGCAAATGCTTTCACCTACCAGTTAACCTCACTGTTGAGACACCCAAATATCTCCCTTTCAGCAAAACAGCAAATGATTAATAGCATCTTTATCTCTACTTTATGTGCAAAACATGGATAATGAATAGGGCACTAGAACAGAAAATAACTACATGTAAAATGTGCTGTCTCCACAAGGTCACTAACAACAGTAGACGAGACAGGGTTATGAATACCAGCATCAGAGAGAAAGAATAAGACCATGTCTGGATTATATTGACAAACAAAGAATAAAATGGTTCAGCCATTTAGGGAGAATGCAGCCAGACCAGACTGCATATAAGACTTTTCACAGTAGAACTTTGGGAGGAAGGTGACAGGATGACCAAGAAAGATACAGATAAATAATAAAGGTGAAACCTGTGAAAAGATATTATTAGATATTTACTATACATGATAAATAAAAGTTCCAAATGAAAGTTATGTTCTCATGTAAAACCAAGCAATCTGGTATCATCTCCACAATAAATATTTGCTAGAAAAACTTTTGAACACTTTCTGTCTCTCATTCTGGTTGTACACTCTCTCATACTGCAGCTCTTCCATATCTTGATGTTATCCTTCCAGTTCTACTGCTGTTTGTCTCTTCTACCTTCTACCTACTTTAACTTGTCCCCACCTGTGTGGATTGAGAAAGCAAAGATGTCCAAGAGAAATCCACACATGAATGTTGATGACAGGCCACAGATGCTGGACTAGCATCTTTGTGTTCACTGGCTGTCAACTCTAGTTCTGGATGTTTGTCCACTTCTGGACTCTAGCCTTATTCCAGAACCTGAGTGTTGGTTCACATCCGTTTGACAGATCTGCTTTATTTGTGAGCAGGCTACTGGTTTCTTACCTCTCTGGAGATGCAACACTCCGACTAAAAAAAAAATCCCCTAATTAGTCAACTCTTACGACACGTGTCTTTAAGAAAACAGTTGGGTCTAATCCAACCCCAGACCCCCCCCCCCTCCCCTACACACTAAATGGGGCTTCGAAAGCCACACAGGAAGAATTCTATACACGATACTGAACAGACTGCACAAGACAGGAGAGAATGGAAGAAATCACTGCGAGCTCTTTACAATATACAAACAAGACCAATATGAAGACAATGGTTTCGATAAAAGCACAATCAGGCATTTTCTTGATGACCTTATCTTTGAGAAATCATCCTTCTTTTTCTTATCATTCTGTTGCTGTAACATCCTTCTTTTTCTTAGCATTCCGTGGCTGTAACATCCTTCTTTTTCTTAGCATTCCGTGGCTGTAACATCCCTCTTTCTCTTAGCATTCCGTGGCTGTAACATCCCTCTTTTTCTTAGCATTCTGTGGCTGTAACATCCTTCTTTTTCTTAGCATTCCGTGGCTGTAACATCCCTCTTTTTCTTAGCATTCCGTGGCTGTAACATCCTTCTTTAACTTAGCATTCCGTGGCTGTAACATCCTTCTTTTTCTTAGCATTCTGTGGCTGTAACATCCCTCTTTTTCTTAGCATTCCGTGGCTGTAACATCCTTATTTTTCTTAGCATTTCGTGGCTGTAACATCCTTATTTTTCTTAGCATTCCGTGGCTGTAAACTCCAGTAAAAAGTTCTGGTTGTTCATCCACTTCTGGACGTGGGTCGTGTTCCAGAACTTAAGTTTTGCATGCACATTTTACAGATCTGACTTTTTTTATGCAGACTGTTGGTTTCTTACATCTCAAAAAGAAACACTCTGAGAAACACCCCTAATTAGTCACTTTTTACAACATGCTTTGGTAGGAAAAAAGGGGGGGGGCGCACTGGGGAAATTCCTTCTAAAATATGGCCCCAGAACCTACTTAGGGAGAGAATGATCCAGAGACATAAAAAAGTAAAGTAAAGGTCCATTTTCCACGCCTTTAGGCGTATATGGCATATAGTGCTAGACGTATATTTTTACAGACCCATCGGCACAAGATGGGTGATGTGGTCCGCATCACTCCGGCCACCTATACTTCCCTGTTCCCATTCAAGGCTGGGTCGACCTGGAAGTCAAAGTCATTTTTTTTAAAGTCCGGCTCCGCCAGGGAGCACACCCACGACCCTCCGATCCACACACGAACGTCTAGCCGCTACGCCAAGGCCATTCCACCATCCAGAAACATACTTCAATCCATGTCCACATCATGAAACTAGAAAAAGTCTGTGATGTCTGAGGCTCAAAATGAATAATAATTAAAAAAAAACATACAAACTTACATGACCTGGTACTGCTGGTAGAATGCCTATCAGATCGAAAATAATTCTCGTAAGTGTCTGAAAAGTGATCCTCATCAATGAGCAGTTCATTGTTGAAGGGGTTCATTCTCCCGGCATTCACCTTATGTCTATGACTTGTTTTTGAAATGGCACTCATAGAGTTTGATACGGCCATACCACTTTCCCACTGTTTCATGACACTCTCCTAGTACAGGGAAACAATGCGAATAAAGATATAACAGGAGACATTTCAAAGCACAAATAATGTGTGTTAATGGGGAATCATCAAGCATGGTAGGGGGTCTCTGTGGCAAAGTTTTCAAATCATTTGCCTCGCTCTCTGGAGGTCGTTGGTTCATTTCACGGCAGCGCCGTTCAGTTAACGAGTGCAATTTTTATGGATACCACCGGAGCTACGGAGGTCGTGCTCTGTGCGACACTTTTAACAGGTAGCTAGCTGTTCTGCAGAGAGAGATTAAGATATCTGGGTGCAATGAAGTTGATCCTCTCAACTTTATCTTTACCAAGCATGGTACAGACATGATACTCTCAGAGACAGTGGTGTGGATTGAATCCTCAGAAGTAGCAGGATTGTTACTAGCCAGTACAGTGCTGGGGTTGATTCTTCTTCTTTTATTCCATACCATATAGTGTTAATAGTCGTGTTTTTCCACAGCCTTCTGTCTCATGGGTTCTTTATTAAAATCCTACCCCAGATGAGGTCATAGGACTGTCCAACATTTTAGCGGGTTGTAAGACTTTGTTTCCCAGCTTTCTGATGCCTTTAACTTCCCCAAAACATCTAGAACTGGTCTTAACCCCAACCCACCTACATCCCACGAGAGAGTGCAGCCCAAGTCCCACAACTGCATGCAGCCTATCTACCAACCCCTTCTGTTGACTTCTATATAGTACTTTTCGGTGTCTCTGATATTTTCATGGTCATCATTCGGCGTAGTGAACCTCTGGGTCTGTTACCGCTGCATCTGTATAACACAGCCTTAACAGTTTCTTAAACTAACCCAAGCAATCTTAATTACCACAGTAATAACCACCATCATGTGTCAACATACTGACCAAGTATGATAAAAGACTATGATTTTCACGGTTGACACTACTCTGTTCTTTATGATTCTATGGACTTGTTTTCATAGGATTTCCCTTTTTTTTTTTAAATTAAGATCTCTGTGCTAGCCTTGCTTTGTTGATAAATTTTAGTTGCCACAGAAGTGTGCCTTGTGCAGCAATACATGTGCATTTGCTATTTTTGTGTGTGTGTGACTGCTGCTTCCATGCACTATAAACGGCAATTCTGCTGATAAGACTGCTGGTGTTGGCACCTCTAACTGCTGCCTTATGCATCTGATGTGTGTGCAAGATGGTGGATTTTGCAGGGACTGCTGTCTATTTAACTTCTGACATGGGACAGAGATGGGCATTCTGTGTAGTTTTTAGTGTCACAGGAACACAGCAAACATTAGTGACAAGTTTGTGATAAAGTTGGACCACGGACTGATAGCCTGGTTGAGCTGTTAGACTTAAGTTACACAAACAATGCGGTTGCTCCTTCAAATATGCCATGAAATAAACAGGTTTACAGCTTTGTAACATGATTAGAGAGCAGGTTAACTACAACAAGAGAGATGTACTTCGGTTGAGCAGAAAGAGTCAATGATGCTGAAATGTTTCGGAAATTGTACACAATTACACAAACAGCAATAATGATCAAGTTTCGGTTCCATTTTTGCTGAGTGTGCTGGGCAGTACTGACATTACAGCTGACCTTTTAACTGCATGCATAAACAATTCCCATGGTGTTTCACAGCATTGTTTGTACATCTAACTCATACACACAACTAAGGGGATGGAATCAACAAGGGAAATGGTTATCTCCATCTTATATGTCCAGACTTTTGAATTGTAATTTTTTTTGGGAGGGGGGGGGGAGGGGGGGGGGGGGGGGGGTGGGGGGGGAGTGTTTTGCACATGACAATGATTTTTTTGGGAGCCATGGTAGTGTAGTGGCTAGATGCTTGTCTGGGGTTTGAATCAGAATTTAGTCAGATTTTTGTTGTTTTTTCAGTACCGACTTAAGCTCTCAGGTTGACACAGCCTAAAACGGGTGCTAGGTCATGTCCTGGGAAGTAAAGGTGAAATGAGGACTGATGTGTGCCAGAGGTTGTCTGGAGACAGCATTGCTGGGGACCACCAGTTCAGGGATCCTCTGCCATCTACGTGTAGGCCAACATACACCATTATCCAAGGTGCACAGTGAGCTATATATATAAGCTATAATTAGATTTAACTGACCCATTTACATACGATTAAAAGCACTGGCACATGCATTTAGGTGTGTTTAAGGTGTGTTGACTGTATTCCACGTTATACCGTCGCTTTGTTTGCAGTGACAGCGTGGTCGATGATCTGTGTATTTTGTGCTCTGATATATATTTGTGGTTTTGGATTATTCTACACTTCGGCAACAAGAAAACTTGTTAAAGTTGATGAAGAATTTATGGAGTTTCTTTCAAGGAGCGACAGCGAAGATGACTTTGAAATGTGTACTTCTGACAGTGAACAAGAAGATTTGACTAGGCCATCAATATTGACGGCTCAAACAGGCGTGTCCAAAAAAAAGATCATCCGAATCAGAGAGCAGCGACAATGAAGTGCCTTCAAAAGGCACAAAACTGATGAACTGTCTTGGTCAACTGATGATTTGATACCAGTAGTGCATAATTTTGATGACTTTAGCTCTGGCTGTATATCTGCTACTGTAAATTCAAACAGTTCAGTGCTTGATTTTTTTTTCCTACTTTTTTTTCCATGAAATCACTGATGACTTTCATTGCAGAGGAAACTAACAGGTTCTGCAAGGAAGTAAGTGAGAAGGCACCTGCCACTACAAGTTCTCATTTTTCCCTATGGACAGACAAGACTTGGACGAACTATTTTGTTTTTTTTGCTGTCTGTCTGCTAATGCCAAGAACAAAAAAACCTCAAAATAAATGTATACTGGAGTGAAGACTGTTTGCCAAAAACTTGAGTGTTTAGTGAAATAATGTTGAGGGAGAGATTTTACTATTGTTGAGAATGTTACATTCACCAGACAACAGTGCTAATGCAGGCGGCGATAGACTACAAAATTAGACACATTATTGACAGTCTGCGCATATCGTTTCAGGGTGCATTTTTACCTTATCGGGATGTGGTTATCTATGAATCACTACTTCTTTACAAAGGAAGATTATCTTTCAAAGAGTACATTCCATCAAAGAGAAGTAGATTTGGCGTGAAAACTTTTGTTATGTGTGACTGCAGTACAGGATACATTTTAGATTTCATCGTGAACACTGGTGTCAACAGCGACATTACTGTGTCAGGTTTAGGGAAGGGGGCTGATAATGGGTCAACTTTACTGGCCCCCTATCCACAAAAAGGCCACAGACTTTATGTAGATAACTGGTACATTTGTCCAGAACTATTTATGTGGCTTCATGGTCAGGCTACAAATGCTTGTGGCACTGTGCGAAAAACGAGGAAAAATATGCCAAAAGTGGGTAAAAGTTTGAGAAAGGAGAAATCAGCTCCAAGTCTGCTTTAAGTTTGCTAGCCAGGAAATGGTCCCATAAACGTGAGGTATGGATGCTAACAACATGCCACAATTCAGATATAATAACAGGGGAAAAGGATTGGAAAACTGGGCTCAATATTGTGAAGCCAAAGTGGATTACAACAAATGCATGGGTTCAGTAGATCATACTGACATGCTTCTTAGTTCAATTGAGTCTATTAAAAAAACTGTGAATTGGGATAAAAAGCTTTTCTTTTTTTTTTTTACATGTTAGATCTCTCGATTTTCAATGCACATTGCTTATATAAAATTGTTGTGGGGGTAAAACATTCCTGTTGCCGATTTTCACCTAACTCTAATAAGAGGAATACTAGGACAATACTGTAAAGAACAGAGAAAGTGTAGGAGGACGAAGGAGTGAAGATCTGCCACTACGGTTGGTGCAAAGACATTTCCTTTCAACCATAGAGTATAAAACACCACAGAAGAAGGGCCCAGCAAGAAAGTGTGTGGTATGCGCAAAAAGTGATAAGAAACCAGATACATGTGCAAGGACTGTGATGTGGCACTGTGTGTTATACTCTGCTTTGAAATATTTCACACACAAAAATATAATTAGCAGTATTAAAAACTATGTAATTGGTTTCTGCAGTTCTTTGTGTTTGTTTTGTAAGTTTCTAGTGTTTCCGTTTTGTAAATGGGAGGTTATTTACAATTAATACCTTCTATATTATACATCTGTGCCTCTGGGAGTGATGAGGATTGATTGTTACTATACAATAGACAATGCACATGCCAGTCTATCACATACTATAATATTGGTCTTATTTTTGGTTGCTGCTTTCGTACGATAGTCTAGTGTAGTTGGTATCACGTCCACCTTAGAATCGGAGTCTTTTTTTTTTTTTATTGTAAATTTTTCTTTCAGTTCTTGCTACTTTTCAGCATGACTCAAGTATTATTATTATTTTTTTAATGTAATAACACCATGACTACAATTAACTATGATTAAAGTGGGAGCTATGGAAGGGTCGTCAATCAAATTTTGAGATAGGGACTGGGAACAGTTCCTTCCATTAATTCCCCACTCCACAGGGAGGTGGTAGCTTGGTTGGTCAAGTTTGTGGGTCACCATCGTGCCTCTGTCACCATTCGGGCCAACCAGAAAACTCCCTAGGGTGACAATTTTTAGGTGCACAAAATATAGCTCTCACCGCCGACGCATCTTTTGCATTTGGAGTACTGAAAAGTATTGCGCACAACAGATACTTTTTTTCCACATTGCTAAGCACAAAACACACAGCTATAGCTAGGAACGTAGCAGCAAAAGGATTAATGAGTTATTTATTACAAACGAATATAACATGCTGATCTGTGCACATGAATAATAACCAGTTTCCATGTCTGGTGCTTAAAATGTTAAAGCAACTAATGTTTGAGTTTGGATAAGTTAAAATTACAATATATAGCACACTGAATAAACTAATATAGATTTATTTTTTTTTTATGTGGGGGAGCAGTCAGAAAACAAAAACAGATTGTTTTTTTTTTTTTTAAACTAAGCAAATGAATGAATGACAAATATCTTGGGATACAGTGTTATGCTACCTCTACCTGTGAATTCTCCAAAGACTGTGACAGCCGGTTAGTGTTTCCTTGTTCTCGTAAAGATTTAACCGATACATGCTGGGAAGACTGTTTATGTTTTCTGGAGGGGGATGCCTCTGCCCTGTGTGTGTCAGCTCCTGATTTCCTCTTGCCAGAATCAACTGCTACACTCTGAAAATCATTCCAGGACCTGGAACTTGCAAGAGAGTCAGTTACTTTGTTGCATTCCCTATCAGCTCTTTCAGGCAGGTTTTGCCTCGATGTTAAGTCTTGCTCACTTGTTTCACTCTCTGTTTCGTCTTTATGTCTTAATAACTGTCCTGGAAAAGATCCCACATCATTTGAAATGCCTCGATAGGTGGTGCCTGGACTAGCAGACGGTAATTTCACAGAACTTTGATAATTTAATGTACACTGTCGGTGTTGTATTTGCTGATGAGGTGCCTGGTTAGATATACTTTCTTTTGTGGTATCCTTGTTTATTTTATGTTCAACAGCAGTGTTTATATAATCTATTGACTTTGATTCCATGTCTTGAATTGCAAAATCGAAATCGCGATTGTGATTGTCAACGAAACCATCATCTTCACTGTCGGACATTGCACTACTGCTAGTAAACGGCACACCGCTGGTCATCTTTACTAAAGCCGTGTTTGTATCTACATATTTCACCTTACTATTCTCTGCCATTTTTGCACGACAGAGCTAATTATAGCGATATATCTCGACACCTGGCAATCAAACAACAAATGTAAGATAAGTGAACCAGCTATAAACAACAACACATAAAACGGAAGTCAGCTGTCTGTCGGCATTTAAAATGTTCTATTCAAAAACATTCCGTCAACGAAATTGTGTAAGAGATTTATTCTACCGGGTATTTGTAAGCCAAAAAGAGCAACCAAGAGGTTTTGAAAGAGTCGGGAGCCCGAAGACAACTCATCACAGACACCAGAAGGAGACCGTCATCATTTTTCGGCCATGTTATGAGAAGAGGGAAAATAGAACATGTTGTGACCACTGGAAAGATCTGTGGAAGGAGGGATAGAGGAAGACAACGAAAGAAGATGCTTGATAGTCTTGTTGCTTGGCATGGAGGTGTGTCGGCACCCGAACTGATACATGCTGCAGGAGATCGCAGATTATGGAGAGGCATGATCGCCCACGCCAGTCGGCAAGGCACCTGATGATGATGATGATGATGATGATGATGATGATTTGTAAGGACTCGCTACACTGTGTATGCAGAATAAAAAATTTGAAAAACAAGGTCATTAAAAATGTGCTTGAAAAAGTAATTAAATTAGAAAAAAAAATAGTTACTGCTATGGTCTAAGACGGTTTGGGGAAGCTGGAAAGTGCCAATAAAATATTCATTTTAATAGATCTTGGTAATGTCCATCAAGTGACATGACTATTCACGCTGCTTCAAATTATTAATATTACCTGCTACGTGTCTGTTGTTATTTTTTTTTAATGGTAATTCTGACTGCTTCTATCGTGTCCTCAATTGTGTGTACATTTTTTGTGTAAACATTTTCTTTTTTGAAACCCCACAGATAATAAACTAATCATGTTAGATCTGGAGAACGAGCAGGTTAAATTATACGTGATACCATGGGATTTGTTCAGCCAAACAAACAATATGTATTACCTTGATAATACCATTCTGTTTTGAGTGCACATTATTACTCCAGCAGACGACATCATTTCACTGCATATTGCTACGATGGTGACCGTGGAGCAAATTTTGTTGTTGTTGACGTCACCACTTCGATTTTAGTTTCAAATTTGTTTTACATCCAAAGTGTTGTGTGACTTTACAAACACCCTGCATGAAACAAAAAGCTGTGGAAATTCGCGAAGACCAACGCCACGCAGCATAGACTTTAGGATTACAAATAAGTTTTATCTTCTGTCAAGACACTTGGTTTGTCTGATGATTTCACGAAACAGAGAGCTGTAGAAATATATGCTGACGAACGCCACGTAGTGTGCACTGTAGGAAGGAAAATAAGTTAATTAACACATTGTCCGTCAAGACACCGATTTTGTCTGATGATAAGAAAACACTCAAATGTTTTAACCTAAAGATAATCTCAACCTGACTTTCTGAAGTACCCTGATAACAGCAAGTGAAAGATGTATTCAAGAAGTCAATTTTAAAACAACTCAAAAGAGCATTTCACTGGACGGAGACTCATATATGCAATCTATCTTTGTCAACTAAGACGAAAAAAAGTCTTTCAGACCTTTATAGAACCAGTACTTATATTATTTAGTTAGTTGATAGACAGATAGTCCTCATCATTCGTAAAGCGCTCTGATACCCTTTTCGGCGTGTGGCGACTGATGTATGGGAGTTAATTATAGACAGTCGATTACTAATCTTTGTTAAGTTATACCATATTGTGAGGGTTAACGTATGTGCTAATGAACACCATAGCCCTGTGCCATACAAGCCAAGTGCAGTAAGAACATAAGAAGGTAAATCCCATATGTTCATAGTAATCAATACCCCCGTCAGTGAGAAAAAGAATCCTTCGCTTTACTGACTGTCAGTATGAGAATGGAATAAGCGGCAGTAACCGAAGATCGTTTATGATTATCTAAACCCGGTAAACGGAGAATCGACATTGTGTTTGATACCCAGCCAGTGTCGAACTGTGAGTATTCTATTATCCCAAGAGATGAGAGACGAAACTTGGCAAATATACCAATGCTAGTAAATGTAGTGAGGATATTAAACCGCGACTAACGACGAACAACTAAGCGGAACAGCCAGACTTAAAAGCACACTGAAACAGGCTGGTTACTGTAAAACAGTCTCTCTACTCGCAAAATGCATTGCACAGATTAGGAACTGAAGCTCGCAAAGACAGAATAACAACAACAACAAAATTAATGTTGTCATTTGACATTGGTACTTTTCTTTTATTTCACCCCATCTAGGGACTTTGAAATTACGTGGTGAGTTTCCGGTAAAGTCCGATATTATTGTGGAAAAGGGGGAAGGGGAAAAAGGGGGAGAGGGTAGGATTAGTGTTAGACAGTGTTTATTTCACACTCAACACTTATATTTTATTAGACGTTTCCGGGAATCCGGGAAGTGTCCACGAAATATCGGAGTTCCCGAGATGAGGGTGAATTAAAAGAAAAGAACCGACAGTCTAAAACAGGGATGTGCTAGTGACGGATGAGAGAGAGAGAGAGTCACACACACACAAAAATTACAAACACACAAAAGACCATACACATTTTTTGTTCACATTAAAATGTACAACTGGTTTACCTATTTAAGAATCGACGTCATAGCACACCGGGCATGCCCATAGATGCTCCGTCTCCAAATGCCGTAAGGTGTAGATGCTAACTATTTCAGTAGCACATTATACACACGCCGATCTCTTCCTCTCATCCGTCCCTCCGTGCCGGATCCACACCGAATTCCTTGTTCAAACATTTTCGGCAATGTTATTTCATCTAATCTCGTGTCTTCTGTGAAAAGTCATTTATATATGGTCTTCAGAATATCTCCCTTGTCTAATATGAGTGTCCCTGCAGCTTTCGCTTTTGTAACCAGACAATCCGATCTTTCATTCCCTCGCCCTCCTGCATATCCCGTAGAGTATATCCGCGTGATTCCCTGCAATGTTTGCATGATATCCACTCATGCCACATTAGTCCATTTGAACCTTCCCCAATACCGACTGAGAATCAGGCACAATAATTCCTCTGGTAACTTTGTTTTCCGCTATCCACTTCAGAACTGCAGTGATTTGCCTCATCTTCCATTCTCATGCTTGAAGTTGTAGATATAAAAGCTCCGTTTTGTTCTGCCACAATTTTCCCTTAATTCTAGCTGAAAATCCCCAGCCAGATCTTACCCCCCGATGAACAGAACCATCGGTGAACACTACTGCATCATCTAGTACAACATTACCAATAGTTGTTGTACCTCTAATTCTGCCAAACCGTTACACCACTATTCCCTTCCTAACGTGATAATGACCCGATGGAAACTACTGTTGTGGGTGTTTGTGTCAATCAATTCCTGCCCCGTGTGTATTTGCTTGACTGAGGCCGCCGTCTCGGTGGTATCTTCAGCTAGTGCCATCCATGACTTTCCTCTTTTAAACCGGTTTTTCTTAAATCGTTAAAATTACAATGCAACGGATGCATTTCGTCATTGGTAACTCGCATATAGACATTGGCTTAGACTTTACCGATGTCAGCCCATGTATATACCTCATTGTTCTAACTGGGGTGACCCGTGTGCAACGCAAGACGATTCTCTTTCCTTCATTTTGAATCATTTCGAGCTGTGTACACCGTGAAGTAGATAGGGTTAATATTCCTAGGCCATAATCGATTACAGAAAGGACCAAATAGTTGAACAATAAGACCAATAATTTCTGTTCCATGTGTGTCGCCATCATTGTCTCAAGTGTCGCCAGACCACGCTTGCATTTGATACAGTCTGCTCCATGTGATATCTGTAGGGCAGACTACAATCAAACGTCATATCTAAGTATTTCAACTAATCTCTTCTTTCAACATTATTACCCTTCATGGATATATTGGGCAAGTCTTTCTTCCCAATGCTGTTATTCAAAGAGCACCACAAAACACTGGCCTTCTCTGGGATTACACTTTACCCTGTTTGTTCACACCCCTCCGTCATCGCATGCAAAGCACTTTGAAAGTCTTTGGTCATGTCACGCTTGTCTGACCCGCTTCGATACATAGGGACATTATCTGCAAATGTCAAAGTTCGCCATGATCTAGTGGGCTGAATGTTTGTCAGATTTGCTGTATCTATGTTAAACAGGACAGGTGGCAATATCCACAAAGAAGTCTACATAATATAATTACTATAACTGTTTGAAAGTACAAATACAACATTATGAACCTGACAATCTATACAGTTAACACATTAGCTGGGGAATATTGAATAACTAAACATATCTGTTAGACATAGATATACCTTACTGAAATAGACAAAAAAATAAACTCCATATTTCCCAATAATAACCACCAAAGGCTTGCAAGGATATTTTTGTTTAACTTGTTCAGTCTTAAATATCTTCCAGAAACTCTAACACCCATCTTCCCCAACCCCATTAAATTCGTCTTTCAGTGTATGGATTACTTATCTGTCCTTTTGCCCTGTCCATTTGATCCCATAGAGCCTTCACCACATCCGTGGTATCATATAGTAGCTCATTGCCTATAGGAGCGGCAGCAGCCAATGGCCAGACTCGCAGTCTCCCGCTGCCTCTCCTCCCCTCCAATTTTTCCTACTGTCACGATGTACTCCATTTTTATCCTTCTAATCACATGACTAAAGAATGTAGATAGTCTCTTTCTGATGTGGGCAATCAGTTCTCTTCGTGAGTCAGTTTCTTTTAAGACATCCCCATTACTCCTCTTATCTGCCCACGGTATTCTCATGAATCGTCTATAAAACCACATCTTCGCACGATTCACTTCCGTATATTAATATAAAATTTATATTATCATCATCAGGTGCCTTGCTGACTGGCTTGGGCGATCATGCCTCTTCACATTCTGCGATCTCCTGCAGCATGTATTAGTTCGTTTGCTGACACACCTCCATGCAACAAGACAGTCAGGAAGGATTGATATAGCTTTCAAGAATTCCCTTTCTTGTCTCAGTTTACAAAGAA